TTTACAATCTTTTGCATACAAATTGCCTAGAGGTCACATCATGTTTTGGAATTCTAAAATGCTTTTTTATATAAGAAGGAAAAAGTGGCGAACTGACACCACACGGAAGCGATGTTCATTCCAGTAAAGTATTCACACAGCAACATTTGAATGTTTTGGCTGACTGAACGTACCCCGGTACCACTGAATCACAATTTATCTCCGGTCTTGAGTGTGGAATGTGTTAAAGCATCTTATCGAACTCGATGAAAAGTGTAAGCGGAAGATTGATGATCGGTAAAGATATAATCTCGAAACTGGAGATTTAGTAGGATTTTTTAGTCGACGTGAAAACTGTCGTTTATTAGGCATGCACCTTACAATATACTTCTGAATTCTGCAGGATGGTAGATGGGGAATGTTTTTCTCGTAAGAAGGAAATATTTACGCATGTTGGTGTAAATTTGCAAAGTGGAGAGCAGATTCATTTTGTAATGCGAGAGGGGGTAGCTGCGTTCGTTTTTGGATGCCGTCCGGTCAAAAATGAACGCATACTCGTTCATTTTTTAACACTCTGCCGTTCGTTTTTTAGCTGAACACGAACGGAGACTTGTCATTTTTGAACGCCTGTTCAAATTTGAATGCGTTCAGTATATTGACAAGCTCCCTTACACAGTTTGCGTGTTTTTGCTACAAACTCATTTAGTAGCTTGGCGTCGGAATTGTGTTTCGTTTTGGTAGAAATGGTTAACAGGAGCTTATAGCAAAGTTTCCTCCGGATAGCTAAGTGGGTATAAAACATGGCTGCAGTTGCAACAAAAATTATTCAACCCCCGCTGCAAATTAGGTTTAGTGGCAAAATTTACAAACTTTCAGCTGTTTGCAATGAACAAATCAAACAAGAACAATTTAAATAGCTCAACACAACAAATATTACAAGTGTCTTCTCCAAATTCAACACAAAGTGCCACTTTTTATGACTACTGCAGGCTCAAAATTATTCCACCCCTTCATGACAAGCATCTTTAATACTTATAGAGCACCCTTTTGCCACTATGACCTGCTGGAAATGTGATGCATAGGCAGACAACAGCTTCTGGTAGCATTTCCAAGGAATCTTAGCCCAGTCCTCATGGACAATGGCCTCCAGTTCACTAATATTCTAGGGTTTGCGTGCTGCAACTGCCTTCTTCAAATCCCAGCAGAGATTTTTTATGGGGTTCAAGTGAGGCAAATGTGATGGACACTCTAGAATCTTCCCAGACTTCTTCTGAAACCAAGCTTTGGTGGATGTTGAGGTATGCTTAGGATCATTGTCCTGTTGGAAGGTCCAATGATGCCCAAGCGTCAGCTTCCGTACAGACGGCATGACATTTTCTCCTTGGATATCCTGGTACTTGACCGAATCCATCTTGCCCTCCACACTTTGCAGGTTTCCAGTGCCAGATGAAGCAAGGCAGCTGCAGAGCAGCAAACAGCCCCCACAATTCTTCTCTGTAGGCAGGGTGTACTTTTCACCGGGTTCGAAATATAGGTGGCGTTATCTCGCCGCGAGACCATATTTTGTTTGGGGCAACTTGTTCACAAACTCAGGTAGTGCAGCGCGCAAGTTAGTTTTGGGCGCATGCCTCATGCGAGCGGTCCGTCTGTTCCCTTGTGCGGGACAGACTCCGCCCCCGCTTGACTGATAGGTCTATCCTCTTGTTAAGTCTGATCAGAGCCATAGAGAAACATGCACCATGTGATAATGCTGTTTCCGGGTCCAAACATCACAAAATCACATGCGGTACACTGTAGACATGGCCGAGCCAGCTGCCATGTTCACGCAGGCAAATTTCTTTTCTGAAGTCTCTGAACGGGTCAAAAAGGGATTAATATCCTATCATTCAAACTGGGGTCCGTGCTCGTGAGAACAGGGGAAATGTGCTGGTCAGTAAAGTGGGGCTGAGCTCAAGCCAAACGGATCTTGCGCCTGGAAAGTGGAAGTATTTACTCGGCGAACACCGATGTAAACTGGGCTTGCTAAAAGGCCCACTCTGAGCGAGGGGCATCAGGGCTCGCAAAATTCTAAAATGAACGGTGGCCCGTTGGGCAAGCGCAAGTGAATTCCTGTTTGACCAAAAAGTTTGATCCTTGCCCGAGACCTTGCCGAATTCGGCCTTAATGCCTCATTTCCACTATGTGGTACCAGCTCTACTCTACTCTACTCCACCCGCCTTGGTGCCGGGTACTTTTCTGGGAGATCGTTTTCCATTAGAGGATAGTACTGCCTCAGTGTAGCTGGTCATCATAGTGACGCAGCACAAAACTATTTAAAATATCTGTATGCCCATTTTTGGATGCGGTTGATTCTTTACCACTCAGACAAACGTGCCATGCCATCGCAGTGATTTTTTGAAGTGGTGTTTTCACACATTACGTTAATGGTAATCATCATGCATTTGTGCGCTGTGAGCTTTACCAACCACGTAACCAACATATCCGTTACCGTTTGAAAAGGTTTTACAACTTTTGCTGTTCATTACGAACAGAGAGAAAAATCATCAGTGCTTTTGTAATTGGTTGAAAGTGGTTGTGTTCTTCTTGAAAAATCATTTACAACCTTATGGCTTTCCATTTTGTTTCTGTTTTGGAATGGCATTTAAAATAAATTTTTAATTCAGTCGTTGGAGACACTGACATACATTACGGTCTTCTGACTCTAGATAAAGGAAGGAAAAAAATTATGGATGCTTCATAATCCCTTTTGACAGAGAATAAGCGGCACGTATACAACTCTAAAAAAAAATCAGATATATTTTAGTGCCCGGATTATAGCGATTTAGGTGATATATTTATGAAAGCTACGTTTAACTCTTAATGAATGAATGAATGAGCACCAGTCGTGCAATCGGGGGTGCGCAGTGAGTGGTTTAAACCAGCACCCTCAAGTCCTCGGACTCATGTCATGAAGTGAAATGACAACGAAGCATTTCTTACGGGTTGTCTTGTTTTGCTAGATATTTTGACATGGTGCGCGTTCTCTAACGAACATGAACAACTTCCGTGTAATATTATTCAGCTTCACGAAAGAGTTTCTCCCATGTTCCAGGCTATTTTGCTGATTGGTAAGCACAGTACAATCAAGAATGTGATTATCAATAGCCTATTGTTTGCAATAAATGTATACTTATACTTGAGGGCTTGTGTGTCTAATAGTTTAATTTTGCTTTTTATATATTCCCTGTCAACTGGTGAAAATATGCAGAAATTATGGCCTTAAAATTGGGGCAACCTGAAATATTAATGGGCAACATAGCTTTTGGCCTAAGTTACCCCCTGGGCAACCTGGCTTGAAAAAGTATTTCGAACCCTGTTTCAGCATATGCTTCTTTATTCCTTCTGCAGACATACCACTGATTCATAAGCCCAAAAAGTTCCAGTTTTGTTTCATCACTCCACAGAACAGTATCCTAAAACTTCTGTGGCTTATTTATATGGTTTTGAGCATATTGGAGCTTGTGCTTTTGGATCAGTTGTGGTGTGTGTCTTGGAGACCTTCAACGTTTATTATGCGCCCTACTGTGCGACCTGAAACCTCAGTGTCTCCTGCCTCCAAGCCTTGCTGCAGGTCTCCTGTAGTCACCCAAGGGTTTTTGACCACCTGTCTCGTCAGGAATCTGGTGGCAGCCATTCATACCTTCCCCTTTCTGCCACATCCTGGCACTGTAGCCACTCTTCCTTTAACTCTGAGCTTGCGAACTATGCTTCCAACTTCTCTACGAACATTCAGTGCCTGTGCTACCTTTTTGTATCCTTCTCTTTTTTTTGTGCCAGGCAATGATCTCCTCTATTAGCTTTTTGGACAATTCTCTTGACAGCCATATTTCTGATATGCAATCAAATGTCACTGTCAACAAACCCCAAGCGAAAGTAAATATTTGATGTGTTCTCTCTCATGCAAACCTTAATAAGCTCTTAATTAGCTGCATTAGGTGTGCTTGAGGCAATGCCTGACTTGCAAATATGCTCTAATGATGGATTCTATTCAGGGGGTTCAATAATTTTGAGACTGCAGTAGACATTAAAGGTGGCGTTTTGAGTTAAATTTGGAGAAACCACTTGTAATATTAGTTGTGTTGAGCAGCTTAAAATGTTCTTGTTTAATCTGTACATCACAAACAGCTGAAAGTTTGTAAATTTTGCAAAAAAAAAAAAAAAAAAAAAAAAATTTTGATTGCAACTGTATATAACAGCACAGCTACATTGACATGCATGCAAGGCCAGACAGTATGAGAAAAACACTTAAATTTCAACTTGCCACTCATCGACATCTTGCTGTAAACGTTGCTGCAATACTTCAATGGCTTCTTCCTCCCTTTCGGGGTTGGATTCGAGATCAAATGAGTACGGTCTTACAGCAATAGTTGCTGCAGAAAGCTGTCCTGAAATACCTGCCATCTTGGTTTCCTGGTTTTTTGGGTCTGCACCCTCCCCCAGAATCGAAGTGGCCAGGCAGCCAATCAGAGCAACGCCTCATTAGCATAGCCTCCCTGCCCACTCCAAATGGCTCGTGTTTCAGGCTGGCACAGACGGGGTGAGAGGAGAGGTCTCACTAGGCCTGGATGTGAGCGTTTTTTTTCTAACTGAATTTTTTTTTTTTTTTTTTTTATTTGACATCTCCAATCCCACCCGAATCTGGAATACCCAATTGGTGAACTATGTGCTAGGCTTGCTCGTTTTGTGACCCCTTGTTGCCAATTCAGGAGAGTGAAGACAGCTCGCGGCTGTCCTCCGAAGCACGCGCCCGACAGCCACCGCTTCTTATACATTCATTGGTTGAATCATCGCAAGTTCAGAACGAGGGCGGAGGATACCCAGACATGAACAGGCTTAGAATCTTCCTGACGAGCGCCCGTCTGGCCAACAGGAGGCACTTGAGCAACGAACAAAGCAATTATTATTTTCCCTTCCCAATTTGCAACTCTGTAGCGCAATGGCCAATTGTGTGCTACTCTGAAAAAGCTGCCGACCACTGCCGGTTGGTAAGACTGGGGATCGAACCCGTGTCGTGATAGTCACTTCTGCACTGCAATGCAGTGCCTTAACCGAGCGAGCTACCCAGCAGCCCTTGTAACTGAATTCTTAACATTATTTTAAAGACCCATTGGACATATTTTAAACTACTAAATACAGCATAATAGGGGACCGTTAAATTGAATTAATTTATTTTACTTGTTGCATAAGTGAGACCTTTTGACAGCTGATGCACTTGTGTTCAGTATTCAGAGAGCAGAAGATTAAGTCAGGGTGTCTAACTGCTAAAACTGCTGGATCAGAAACTGTGCATAATTCAATTTAACTAGGATAATCGTTGAACATGCAGAGAGTGACAATCAGAAAAGACAAAAGTAAATGCTCAGAAAAGGAAGGGTAAGCAGCTTTTGGCTAGGCCGAGTTTTCCTCCTGCACAAGCCCTACCGGCAGAAAAGAAGGTAGTGTATGGGTTGGGCCAGTGCTGCCTCATCTTGTGCGGCAGAACCCCTGGAAAGCTCCAGAAATGCAGGTACGTGGAGATCCGACTTGACTGAATAGCCACCAGGTTACCGCCCACTCCTGAGAGAGGTAAAGAGAGAAGAGGTGGAAATTGAGGGAGAGAGGGTAGCGTGGAAGCGCAGCAGGACAGAGGGTGAGAAAGAAAGAAATGATGAGAGGAGAGAGGGATAAAGAGTGACACAGAACCTCTGATTTTCAGTTTGTGAACTTACAGTGTGTTACCATCTGCAAATTTTGTCAAGTGTTGTGTAAATGTAATGCAAGAACCAACACTGAGATATAATCAGTAAACTTAAAACGTGTGTAATACACTGAAAATAGTCAGAGATTTCTTTGAGTCTCCTAACTCACTCACCAGATTGTGTAAGCCTCAAAATTTTAATGTACATGCACTTGTTTGTTAAATCTACTGAAAAAACACTCTTCCACTTTGAAGCCTTTTGTTTGCTCTACAAAGCATTGGCTGATGCAGCAGGTGTAAGCTGGTGTTGTTCAGGCCTGGCACCATATGCAACAGCACCCTTCAGGGATTCAAACCTGAACCTTCCTGGCTACTGGACAACACTCAGGTTATCAAAGAACATGTCCTTAATTCAAATCTACGCCCTCCTGGCTGCAGGCCTAATTCTGGTGTGGTTCCTGCAACTTCACATCTCAGAGTCAAATTGTGGACTCAAACCCTACACGACAACAACATCCCACATCCTCCTTGAACAAAGCCTAACCAGGGAGTTCCTGCAGCTCCCTCTCATCTTGGAGCCTAATCAGAGACTCAACCGTACAATGTCCTGGCTGAGAAACTAATCAACAAGTCAATTCAGAGCCGTTCTCTGAACCTAGCTGAGGACTCTCAACCAGCGCCCTCCAAGGGACTCCCTTCCCAATAGAGGTGTAACGATACCGAGGGATCAGGATACGATACGTATACTACTCAGATAGGGATCATAGGAATTTTTTTGTGAAATGACATGCAAATTTGGTAACTGCCACTGATGAACAATATATTGGATAAATGACATGCAGTCAGACACAAAACACATTTGCAAGTGCATTTAATGACATTAAATGAGCGTGCAGCCTCACACTTTGGCTTTTCACGAACACTTCATGGTTTCACCTCTGACATGTAAAGTGAAAACAGACAGTGTTCGTTTGATGTTTCATTACCACAGTTAATGTCAATAACGGGTATGGCCTCCCCTAGCTTGAATGACGGCTTGACAACGTCGGGTCATACTGTCAATCAGAACCCAGATGCTTGCATTGGAATGTTGTTCCATTCTTCAACAAGGGCATTTCCGAGCTCTTCTAGAGTTGTGGGTTGTGCCCTACGACCGGAAATGGCGACCTGCAGCATGTTCCACACATACTCGATAGGGTTTAGGTCCGGCGAACACGCGGGCCAGTCCATGCGGACAATTGTCTCCTGCTCTAGGAATTGATTCACCACCCTAGCACGATGGGGACAGGCGTTATCATTCATCAAGATGAAATCAGGGCCAACAGCACCAGCGTATGGTCTTACGTACACATTGAGGATCTCATCCCTGTACCGTACCCCTGTCATCGTCCCTCTCCCCATGACATGCAGGTCCGTTCTGCCGTTCCTGCTTATTCCTCCCCAAACCATAATTGATCCGCCACCATAACGGTCGTGTTCGTTGATGTAGGCATCATTAAATCGCTCACGTTGTCTTCGCCACACCCGTTGCCTCCTGTCAGTAAAGTCCAAGCAATATCGGGACTCATCAGTAAAGAGAACTGGAGCCCAATCGTTGTGTGTCCATGTGACATGATCGTGAACACAATCCAAACGGTCACGCCTATGACGCACGGTCAGTGGGGTTCGAACACATGGCCTTCTTGAGTTGAGGCCGGCAGTATGAAGACGATTCCGTATCGTCTGAGTGGATACCCTGACCCCGAGGCGTTATGAAGGTCATTTCAGTAGGGTGGTGGCTGTCCAGAAAGGATGACGTCGTGCCTGAAGTGTGAGAAAGTGGTCTTGTCGTTGTGTAGTCGATCTCTGACGACCACCCCCATGACGGTGTGCTGCTGTACCAAACGTTTGATGCCGGTTCCATGCTCTGTTCACAACGCTTTGGCTGACGTTAAGTGCATTAGCAATGTGACGTTGTGAGAAGCCAGAGTCAAGCATTCGATGCATCTTCCCAATTGCTCTGAAGTCAATCGGCGTCTAAGGCGTTGAGGAGACATTGTTATTGCTAAATGTAATGCAAAAAATTTGGGAACTTCCAAATTTTCGCCAACAAGCAACACACACGTCTGAGTTGAAATGGTGAAGTGTTAGTCAAAGCCAAAATGTGAGGCTGCACGCTCATTTAATGTCATGAAATGCATGTGCAAATGTGTTTTGTGTCTGACTGCATGTCATTTATCCAATATATTGTTCATCAGTGGCAGTTACCAAATTTGCATGTCATTTCACAAAAAAATTCCGATGATCCCTATCAAATTTTGAGTAGTATATTATGATACAGGGGTCGTGATACGATACGTATCCCGATAAATAAATTGTAGTGTGACTGCCAATTTTCTTTCTACTTACAAGTAAGCAGCAACACTGAAAGATTTCCACAAGGCTTTTGAAGTTTATTAAAACAAAGGAATAAAGTTAGTTTACCTTTAAGTACCACTTTGTGTTCACTGTTCAGGTCAATGTCTTCAACTTAAAAAATTGATAAAAGCTGAATAGGTCTCCACTACTATTCACCAGATTAAACAGTCATATTGCAAACTTCTTATCATTATTAGTAGCATCCACATTTCTGCCCAATTCTGGATTCTATCCAAATCATCCTGAATCACTTTAGTGGACTCTAAACTATTTGCCAAACCTCCTAATTTAGTATCATCTGCAAATTTAACTAATTTGCTCTCAATATTCCTATCAAGGTCATTAATGTAGATGAGGAACAGCAGGGGTGCTAACACCAATCCCTGGGGGACGCCACTCCACACCATACCTAGCTCAGATGAGATACCACTGATCACCACTCTTTGTGTTCTGTCCTGTTACCAGTTTTGAATCCACTTCAGAATACCTCCTGTAATACCTCCTCCTCATTTAAAAAAATTAGTCTCTTATGTGGTACTGTATCAAATGCTTTCTGAAAATCCAAGTATATAACATAACATAACATGAATGGCGAGAACAGGCCGTTCAGCCCAACTAGGCTCGCCAGTATATGTATATATATAAGTATATGATGTCATAAGCCCTGCTCTGGTCATAAGTCTTGGTGGCCTCTTCAAAAAATTCCAGAAGGTTTGTCAGGCATGACCTTCCCTTACGGAAACCACATTGGCTATCCCTCAAGATATTATTACGTTCAAGAAATAAGTCCAGCTCATCTTTTATGATGGATTCCAGTATTTTGCACGTAATGCAAGTTAAACTGACTGGCCAATAATTTCCTGGCTCAGTATGGTCCCCTTTCTTATATATTGGAATTATATTGCCCTGCTTCCAATCATTTGGTATTTCTCCAGTTTCTAAAGAATGTCTAAAGATGGCGGATTGCGGCTTAAACATGATCTCACTAACTTCCCTGAGCACTCTAGGATATAAGCCATCAGGACCCGCCGCCTTATCTGCCTTTAGTTTATGCAACTTGTCTAATACTTCGTTATCCCTAACCTCAATTTCCGCTAAATAATCTTGAGCATTGGACATGCCCTCTGGCCGAATAAAAACCCGCTCTGAGGTAAAATTCTCAACAAATTAACTGTTTAAGGTATCCGCAATATCCTTGTTATCATATAGCAGCGATCCATATTTATTCTATATGCACTTAACCTCCTCTTTGACTTTCCTTTTTCTGCTACAGTACTGAAAGAAGCGCTTAGGGTTAGTTTTTGCCCCCTCTGCAATTTGTCTTTCATACAGTCTACTAGCATTCCTCAGCTCTTTTTTGACCACAGCCCACATTTTACAGTATTCAGCCTTAGTGTTCTAATTGTTATCCTTTTTGTACATCTTATGAAGATTCCTCATTTCCCTCAAACTCCTACGAATAGCTGTGGTCATCCACTGAGGAGTCTGCTTTTTCAGCTTACTTTTGGTCACCTTTGGAATGAATTTACACTGTGAATCAAGTAAAACCCCCTTAAATCTTTCCCACATCTCATTTACAGACTCACAGTTCAGGAGTGTCTCCCATTTTATTTCACTTAGATATGAGCGCATCCTGTCAAAGTTTGCTGGCCTAAAATTGAAAATTTTTGTTTTTGAAGACACCTTTTTAGCTTCCCATGAAACATCAAAATTAACAGTAGAGTGATCACTTGTCCCAAGTGGCTCCAGTACCTCAACATTGCTAATTCTATCTGGGTCATTACAGAGCACCAAGTCTAAAATTGCCTTCTCTCTTGTAGGTTTATCAACATACTGCACCAAAAAATTATCATTTATAACATCTAGAAATTCTTCCTCGCCCCTACCCTGTCCTTTCACCATTTTCCAATCGATACTAGGATAATTTAAGTCTCCCATAATAATAGTCCCTCCTCCTCTAAAGGCTTGCCTAATCCTCTTAACATGGGTGCAA